GAGAGATTAAGAAAGCTATGAAAACTAATCAACGAGAGAGATCATCATCAAGGGAATCGTAGATCTGGCTTCCCGGGGAGACTATAAAGTGTGATAAGAGTAGGTTGTGTAGTATCCTCGTCTCTCCACGATCTAAACGGAACGCGTGGAAGTTTGTCTAGCCATGGATCTAGAAGCGTGGAAGTACTCCACATGGCTAAATATCTAGAGCGATTGTTCATCATCACCCTAGTATGACTAGCGGTCATTGAGAACCCTTCTAAATGACTATTCACGAGAGATCAGTCATGAGTCGAACTCAAACCCTATCTAGGATCGAGTCGGAATAGGCTAAGAGCCGTGTATTGCATTTGCCCCTGACAAGGGTCACAGAAGGCGCGACAGCATCGGACAAGGAGAACAATGATTTAAAGTGCGGGGCACTCTCATAGATTTGGATGTAGACATTGCGTCGCACGATGGCAATCCTACAAGGGGATCAGGCCTGTATGGGTATATACCTTATGTTCCAAGTCTGGTAGACTGTGCCGCCGCTTGGCGGTAGCATGTTGGAGCCGTACAGTCATTGTCATTGACTCGGTCTATAGTGTAAGGACCTTGTACTTTGGCTGACCGTACTTGCGGTGCTGATACTGTTGAATATCACAGTATCGTTGACATTGTATTGAAGGGACACGCATTGCGTTTTCCCTATGTTTTTTGTTGTGTTGGATTATCTTGGCGACGTTCCTTAATTACTTCCAGTTGGCTTCGAAACGACGTTGTGAATCGCGTCACGATTGAACACGAGTGTGCGGGGTTGCACGCAGGTGGTATAAATCGTGGATTCATTGCAAGCGAACCGCCGTTGAGGACTTCATCCCAGGATCCATTCACTGAGGTCGTCTTGGCACTTGATGTTTTGAACAGCGATCAAGTTACGTATGGTTTGATGAGCACGCTCGACCATAGAGTTGGCTTGAGGGTTACGCTGGGTGATGAACTTGCGACGAAGTCCATATTCATCCCGGAGTGTTCTTTCGACCTCTGCGCGGAACTCGCGTCCTCTATCATGATAACATCGGCAGGCCATGGATACGAGTAAGCCACGTTTTGTCTAGGACGATGGCACTTCGTTGCTGCCTTGAGCAGATCTTGCAATCTCGAACCATTCCGTTACGGGATCAATCATTGTCAAGCAATGAAGTGTGCAGGATTCTTTTTTCTTGGATCCCCGACGTTGTAAGGGCCTATCAGGTCAACATAGTCTTTCCCAAGGATCTCCTCGCAAGTCTTGGAGGCATCAATCCCAGTTACGCGTCTTGGTTTGTTCATGGCAGCTTGGCAACGCTGACATACGCCTGCACAGTCCTGCGCAGTCCTTTCCAGGTGTAGTGTTGGCTATGGTTAGTTCCGTGGAGTCTCGCCAGGTGCATCAGCACACCATGGTCATTCAACTAGCTTTTTCTGCATAGCTTTAGGTAAGACGATTTTCTCGTCCTTTACTACTAAGTCGTAGGACTTATCCCCTCTAGGAAAAGATTGCTTCTTGTAGTCATTTGGCTTGTCCCTGAGGAGCTTCTTGATATCGTTGTCGTCTTTCTCGACGATGTTCGATCTCGGGGAACGAGAGAGGGAACTCCAAGGGAAGTCCTCTTCGTCTGCAGCCAGAGTCAGCGTTTTCGCTGGCGTCCATCTGTTCTGAAGAACGTCGTTGTTGGAGATGTTAGTCTCGACAACGCATCAGCGACGATGTTCTGTTGCCCTTGATGTACCGTAGTTCAGGGCTCGTATTCTTCCAGAATAAGGCGCCATGCATTACGCGATCGGTATTGAAGTTCTTACATGTAAGATTTTGTGGTCCGTATGTACACGATCTTCTGTCCTAGAAGAATGTTACGGAACTCTTTTGAGTTTCTACGATACTGAGAAGTTCCTTCTCGGTAACTGTGTATACGTGTCTGACAGGGTTGAGCTTCCTGCTGTAGAACGTATAGGTTTTCCCTCTGGAAAATTACTGCACCTAGTTGAGTATCACTCGCATCCGTGTGGATACCGAATGTATCGTTGAAGTCAGGGTAAGGCGAGCAAGGTTTCTTTGCTGATGATCTTCTTCTCTGGCTAAAGGCCTTGTCTTTTCCGCTTCCCATTTCCACTTCGTTGTTTTGGAAGTCAACGAAGCGGTGGGGCCAGTACATGTATCTTCTAATCCACATGTCTCGATAGTATGTCACTAGTCCAATGAATCTACGGAGTTCCTTCCGTTTGGTAGGAAGAGCGATTCTGTGATCGCGTCTATTTCTTGGTTATAGGTTGGATCCCTCCTCGAGTAATCCAGTAACCTAGATACTCAAGTTCTCCCTTGCGAAGAAGGACTTGTGAGCATTGATCTTAAGTCCGCTTCTCGAAGCCTTCAGAGAACTTCATCCAACTTTCAACGTGATCTCGCTAGATCGCGTTAGTTAGGATGAGGAGATCAGTCAATGTATGCACGGACGTATCTAGGTCGTGCATTAGTGTTCCCATCTTCTCCTGGAAGATGTCGGGATATTACATAGGCCCATTGGCACCTCTGGTACTCTACTTCCCCACGGGAGTACAATGTACGGTTGCTTCGAGTGAGGTGACAGCTCGATGTGATAGTATCCCATATTCAGGTCTAGACTAGTAGCGTACTTGAATCCGTCTAGGTTCAAGAGCATGTCCTGTATTTTTTGGATAGGATAAGGCTTCCGCTTAATCCTTTTGTTCAGTTTCCAGAAATTCAGAGATGAATCTGACAGATCCATCTTTCTTGGGAATGATGAAATTGGTGCCGCCCACTCGGAACGGTTTACTTCTTGAGTACTCCTGCCTTCGCAGAGACGTTCAACCTCCATTTTAAGAGTGTTGGTATGAACCCGTGGAATAGGTTAAGCTCTGGCATGATAGGGGGTAGCATCAGGGAGAAGTTCTACTTCGTAGTCGTCCATCTGCCACTTTCCTAAAGTACCATCGAATAGGTCAGAGTACTCCGTCAGTAAGGAATGAAGCTGTTCCTTCTCTTGCCTGGTTTAACTGATCTTGACTTTGGCAACCTGCCTTAAGTCAGCTTGTTGTATTTCGCATCAAGAATCTTCTTTGAGACGATCTGCACTGCCATCAACAGCGTAGGATCAGAAATGAAAAAGTTTTCTTCTTCATTGGTGTCGCTGTCTTTCATAGGAATAGATGCCGTCCCATTCCACTGACATGGTAGTGAAATCGAACTTGAAATCTAGATCAGAGAGATTGTCTCGACCTATGATCATGTCATACGCCCCCAAGCTCTTGGTGACGGGTAAATCCACTCGATAATTCTATCTTCGTGGAATCAGGAATATAAATGCACCCTTGCACTTCGTGCTAGTGTTTAATTCTCCTGCAGGGGTAGTCCCCATCGTTTGGACGCCCCCAGATCCTTCATCGTATTTCTTAGCATGGGGTTGAGCAATCAAGGTTCCGGATGCTCCTGTATCCTAAGCAACGGAGTGTAACGGGTTTTGGTTTCCCTTTTTCTCGCTTGTTAAATCTAACATAACGATGGGTTTGAGGTCTCTTGTCTTGCGACGTTTACGAGTTGGTTGGCCACGGACGAGGTTAACGATGCTAAATAGATCATCAGAGTCTAGTTGAGCAGCTTCTAGGCAATCATCTAATTTGCCGTAGTGTTCATCAGTTGCAAACAATTCTTGTTACATATTAGTGAGATATCTTCATCACTTTGTATGAGAAATCGGAACATGGTTCCGTTGAGTCATCACCTGGCCTAATCCTCAGATAGAGATTTCTCCATCAAGTGATTGAAATTGATGAGGAGTTGTCCTCATTGTCAGAATCTTCTGATTGCGCTTGGCAAAATGGTTGCGAAGTTTGCAAGTGGGTGCACGAGTATCGTCGATCTCGTTTTCTCCGTCATTGTCAACGAGAGGAAAAATGGGTTTTTCACGCAATGTTTTTCGAAGTTGCGGACGCATGCTTTCCTTGAGCCATTTCATGGTGAAGGAATAGGTTGAGGTAGCTGAAAGCTATTGTGTTGTTAACAAAATGCACTACGCTAAAGCTAGTGTAAAGATCTTTCGAGTGTTTTGAGTTTGAGAGAATGAAAGTTATGAGAGAGATTTAGAAAGCTATGAAAACTAATCAACGAGAGAGATCATCATCAAGGGATCGTAGATCTGGCCCCCCGCGGGAGACTATAAAGTGTGATAGAGTAGTTTGTGGTAGTAATCCTACGTCTCCACGATCCTAAAACGAACGCGTGGAAGGTTTGTCTAGCCTGGATCTAGTAGCGTGGAAGTACTCCACGCTGGCTAAATATCTAGAGCGATGTTCATCATCAACCTAGTATGAACTAGCGCGGTCATTGAAGAACCTGTCTCAAATGACTATACACGAGAGACTAAGTCATGAGTCGAACTCAAACCCTATCTAGGATCGAGTTCGGAATAAGGCTTAAGAAGCCCGTGTTTGACTATTCACGAGAGACTCAGTCATGAGTCGAACTCAAACCCTATCTAGGATCGAGTCGCGAATAAGGCTAAGAGCCGTGTATTGCAGCAAGCCACTTCAAAATCTCACCGATAGATGTCACCTTGCGAGATTCCTTCACAAGGACCTTGTTGGTTTCTGTCATCATGTAATAAAGCTGTTCCTTGGGGAAGCATGCCATAAAGAAATCATAAGGATTGAACTTCGACTTCTTGTTCCTTGAAGACACGGTCGCATCACAGCCAGGAGTGTACTCGCGACCACTGTACTGGCATCTCATCTTCCACATCCGGCGGCTTGCTGGGCCATTCGTGTCGACATCAGTGGGCTTATCTGTGTACCAATCCATGCCATGGTTCGATGACACTGGTGTCCGTCCAGTTGGGGAGGGCTGTTGTTCCGGATTTTCAGGAGAAGAACCCTCCACGCTGACGCTTTCTGATTCGCTATTCGCTGTTTCTTCTGCTGTAGCTGTAGCTGTTTCTTCTGTAGTAGGTGTGGCTTGTCCTTCCTCATTTCTTGGTGGTTGGCGGGGGAGGAGGAGGAGGTGGTGGAACAGCTGGAGGGGGATTGCCATTGCCTTCCACGCTGGTTGGTTCGGGTGTTGGATTCGCTGTTGGATCCGCTGCCTTCAAGCTCTGCATGGCAATTTCCACGTCCTTCTCAGTATCTCCCACCTTGTACAATGCTCTGATGAATGTAGTGTCTCGCTTTGCATTGACATTGCCCCTTCGCTTGTCAACTGAAAGGACTGTTCCTTTCAGCCAAGTCGTGCTCGCTGCCGCCCCAAAGATGCGACCGGAATCTCGACTGACATGCTTCGCCTGGGCCCAACACACACCACCAACTTGGCGACGGCTATCCAGCACTACAGGAGGCATCTTGCTGGCTTTGGAGTGACGAAATGAAGGAGGAAAGAGCGTTCAAAGAGGCCATGGTGAGTTTTCTTTTCGATCGAAACGAAAAGTGAAGAAAAAAGCTGTCGCGTGCGAAACGATCCGATTGCCCGCAAGCCAGAGCCTGTTACCCATGAAAATTGGCTCTCGCACCAGTCAATTAACCTACCACATGGTCTATTAACTATGTACAAAAGAGCAAGCATGTTAAAGTAGCTATTCATTACTGAAGATTGTTGATAACGAGCTTGCTGATTTCCTTTGTTAATTAACAACGCGTTGTTAATTAACAAAGCTAGAAGGCTAGACATTAGCACAGCAAAATCGAACTGTACGGCTGTACCGTTTCCAGTACAACAAGTGTATGGTACCATCAATACTTCTACCGTACGTCAGCTAGCTAGGCTGGGTAATGCGTGCTCACTCATGATTCCTTGCACTGTGGATCCGGCTCACCTACCTGTTTCATTGTTCCGCTTCCCCTCGATACAGGTCATGTTCTACGATTAGATTCATCATTCTTTAGAAGACCACTCAATTGTGGGGTTTCTCATGTTTTTTGTTGCCACAATTAACCAAGGCACCAAGAGGAATATCATACAATAAACTTTTTTTAAAATAAAGACGAGACCATGAGATCTGATCCAGAAGACACCACTCTCCAAATGACGTTCGACGACCATGGTGATGAACTGAAAACCAAAGCAGCAACACCCCGAACCATTGGTACTGTTATTGCGGGATCACCACGTTTTTTTGGGGCCGTGTTGATCCTGGTCATGGTGAGTGTTCAGAACGTCCATCGATTCTATCAAGCAGCACCACGAGAAAACAGCAACAGCAACAGCAGAAGTCGCAACGTCATGAAAATGACAGAGGAGGAGGAGGAAGAAGTTGACACGTACACTTTGGTGGTGGTTCACTGCAAGGCCAATATTACGTGGCTCGATGAAGTCCCGTCGGATTGGAGAATCGTCCTTTACAACAAGTGCAACAACAAAAAAGTGCAAAAGGTAATACCCAATGTCACTCTGACCCAGCACGTCCCTGCCAATGCTGGGGAAGAAGAGTGCAATGGATATCTGGATTTCATGTACGACTACTACCACAATCTGAGCACCGTCACGGTATTCATGCACGACGATGGACTGATACCCTACGATACCAAACACGAGGCCAAACTCTACCATACCCCATTTTCTACCTTTGAGCCTATTGTCAATGTCACCAAACAGTTTCTCACTCCACAACATCCATTCCTACACTTGGGAAAACTTGAAATCATGGAAAAGTGGGGAAAGGATCCTTACTGGGGACTAGCCCAAAAGATTCTATGGCCCTACTTTGCTGTTCCGGTTCCTAATAAGGACAACAACAACACCAGTACCAGTATGATTCCCCTGGAACAACAAAAAATGAAACTCCCAAGGCATCCCCAAAAGACGTCCTTCAAACCCAGTGCCCATTTTGCAGTCCACAAACAACAAATACAAAAACGACCACAATCCACCTATTGGGCCATCCTCCAACAATCGCGATTTGCATCACAGGTGAAAGACAGCTACCCCAATGCCAGGCAATTCTGTTGTGCCATGGAACGCACGTGGCATGTCTTTTTTGGAGAACCACATTTGTTGCCCACACGGGCCATTGCATCCGATCTACTCAACATGACCAAATGTCAGTTTTGTGAAGGATAACTCGGCCATCATTCATTCCATGGTTGGTTTGAGTATCAGTACTGGTCATGCAGGCTCTGTCCTCACCAAAGGCACGTATCCAATCCACACTTGATTTGGCAGCGCTCGAGATCTTGCCCTGGCTTCGGTTGTTGACACATCGATTCAATTCCCGTGAAAAGGATTCTTCAGCAAAGAGTTCCGTTTCCTTGCAGATCTTGTCGGGGAATGACGAACCCGCTCGGTGACTTGCTAGGTGCTCGAATTGATTCAGTGTCGCGGTGCGGCTAAATTGCAGCTGCGCGCACTCATTTGGGCCGAACGAAAGGAATACCGCAACACCTAGCTAGTTCGTTACTAATCGAATGATTAAACTCTGGTCTTTTTCAGCGCATGTACCTTGGGCTTTTTTCGTAAGGGAACGCACTATAGTGGCTTGTGTTCTATTCAGAGTTCTGCCATGCCTCATGGTCGGCACGATTACATTCGATTCAAACAAAAAATCCAAGGATTGGTGCTTCGGTGGTCTTTCTCGTCACGGTGAATGACCACAAAGACGACCTTCCTTCCGCGTATAGTAAAATGATGTAGTCATGGATTCTTATCCTTGGCAATCACTCAGTTGATATAGATCTCTCGCATTGGGACCGTTGTCGCTCCTCCCCTGAATCCGTTGGCGGCACCATTCCCACTGCATGTTGGTGTATGTTGGTTCGTTCATTCGTTCGTTCGTTCGTTCGTTCGGGCCGGTATCCAAATATGTGGAAGCATTCCAATCATCCCGAACCCTTGTACAGTACCCACACGAATTGAGAAATCACGTTCTGGTTGCTGGTCCTGCTGTTAGCCCCAATAGCACATTTTTTCGACGTTTCTTCATTTCAAGTCATTTCATTTCGCGGAGAATGGGATCGACAATGACAGGACCGTTGACTGGCCCCGGGTTGGAGGATGTCCAATTGTGACAGAGGACACAGTCTGTCATGTCCAGCAGATCGGATGCCATGGCTCTCTTGGGGAGTACGGCCGGTTGTCCAAAAAAGACATGCCACATACGTTCCATGGCACAACAGAATTGTCTGGCATCAGGATAGTGCTGTCCCTTGGTTTGCCGACTGAGCTGCACCTGTTGCAGCAATGCCCAGTAAGTAGATTGTGGTCGTTTTTGAATTTGTTCCTTGCGAACGGCAAAATGAGCACTGGGTTTGAAGGATATAAGTTTGGGTGGTTTGAGTGATTCCAGCTGGATGATTTCACCATGTTGATTGTAGTGTGGAATAGAAAAGCAGGGCCATACAGTGTGCATGGCATCTCCGTGATACCAATCGGCCCCCCATGGTTCCCCCATTTCCGTGACACCGAAATGCAGGAATGGGTTATCTTTGGTAAGGTATTTTTGAGTGACATTGACAATGGGTTCAAATGTATGAAAGGGTGTGTGGTAAAATGTTGCCTTGTGTTGTGTATCGTAGGGTATCAAACCATCATCGTGCATGAATACAGTAACGGTGGTGAGCTCGTCGTAGTAATCGTGCATGAAGTCGAGGTAGCCATTGCATTCTTCTGCCAATTTGTGGTTGGAAGGAGTGTGTCGGATAAGTCTCTTTAGTTTGGGCAATTCTTTTTTGGTGTTTCGCTTGCACTTGTCATAGACGACGATGCGCCAGTGGTTGGGTACTTGATGGAACCAAGTAATATTGGCCTTGCAGCGAACTACCACCAATGTATAGGTGGGATCTTCATCTCCCAACTCCTCATTTTCTCTCTTGGTCACGTCCTTTGGTGCGTTACTATGAAGGGATCGTCGTCGGGGTTTGGTTTGAATATTATTATTTTTGTTGTGGACAACCGGCATGCCACAGGTTCGACTAATGTTTAGCAGCATGTCTCGCACTTGCTTGGAATTGTCTGGTTGTTGGGATGATGACATGACGACGGTGTTGTTGACTCGAATGAATCGGTTCATAGTGAGAACCACGAGGACCATCAGGAATGTAAAATACCAAAAGGAAGCCCTCTTGAGCAGTGAAAAAGTCATGGCCCACAGTCTCTGCACTCTCTGTCGTCCACTGCTGGGCCACTTGCTTCTGAGGAAGGAAGAAGGAGATCTACGAATCATGAGTACCGTACTAGTGGGTATGTATCAACAAGAACACAATACCAGGTACCAGCACCACGCAGTGCAATACATACGGCGAAAGAGGTGTTGACTTTGCCTTTCTCGCAAGTCGTCTCTACATGTAATCGCATTCAAGGTGGTTTGAAGTTTTGACCGGAATGGAATGGAATCGAGTGATAGTCTGAGTCGACTGAGTCGAGTCGAGTCGAGTCAATGAGTGGGTCATAAATGAGGCGTTAGGGTTAAGGAGATGCGTCACTTGCCTGTCCGTCGAAACTTCAATCCGGAACACCGCAACCAATCATTTGTTTTTTTCTCTCAACCCAACCTTTTCGGAACAATGACAAACCTGACCTGACGAGATAGTCTACCCCACAAATATTTGTTCTGTGGGCAGCCATTCATCTACTCACTTCCCACAAATAAAAAACAAGCATTATTGCAACTAATAATCCTTGACCTTCACATAATATTGCTGAACCTACAACCTCCCAAGCAACCCTTTGCCTTGCAAAAGAATTTAGGTCCTATCTTTTTTCCTTTCCATTTCCCTCTCCTTTCGATTTTACCATGCCCGAAAGCCCCAGCGACAAGAAAGAGCGCAAAGCTCGTTTGAAGGAAGAAGCGAAAGAATTGGGCATTAGTTACGATGAGATGAAACGTCGGCACAAGAGCCGCAAGCGTGAAGCCGAAGCCTTGGAATCGTCGGAACACAAAGTCGAAGCGCAGCGCATGAGGAGTTGGTCCAAGGGAGATGAAAATGATGGCGACGCCTCTAATAACCCCAGCAACTCTACTAGCACTACTCTGACGGAGGAACCCTCGGCCAAACGCCGTCGTACCCGATCCATGGACGCCGCGGAAGAAAAGGCAGCATTGGCAGAACAAGCCAAGAGTACCAATCCTGATGAGTGGCGCAAGGAACACAGCATTACGGTACAAGGCCACGGGAGCCATCGTGGAACTACGGAAATTGCCACTCCCTTTTTTACGTTTGATCAAACACCGTTTCATGCCAATATTCAACGTTCCTTTCAACAAGCGGGATTTGAACGTCCGTCGGCCATTCAAGCACAAGCATGGCCCATTGCCATTCAACAAACCGATATGATTTGCATTGCCAAGACGGGATCTGGAAAAACCTGTGGATTCTTGTTGCCCGCGTTTCATCAACAGTTGCAACTCAGCGATGGGAAACCACCGAATCCTCGTCGCGGTGGTCCTCCCGTCAAACCCGTGCTACTCGTGCTGGCACCCACACGAGAATTGTCGGTACAAATCATGGAAGAATGCCAAAAATTTGGACGACCCATTGGAATGCGCAGTGTCTGCTGTTATGGCGGAGCTGCCAAGTATCACCAGATTCAAGCGCTGGAACGGGGTGTCGAAGTCGTCATTGCAACACCCGGGCGTCTCAATGATTTGTTGGAAATGAGGAAAGCAGATCTCAGTCACATCAAGTATTTGGTCTTGGATGAAGCTGATCGGTATGTACACGTATACATGGATTTTGATGAGTTGTTTTGCTGCACTTGATCAGGATGCTCACCTTGTGTCTTTTGGTTGTTTCTATTATTATTATTATTATTATGTAACAGAATGCTCGATATGGGATTCGAGCCACAGATTCGCTCCATTATTGAAAAGATTCCCACGGAACGACAGACCATGCTCTTTTCTGCCACTTGGCCACGAGAAATTCAACGATTGGCACATGATTTCTTGAAAGATCCCATTCAAATCAATGTGGGTGAAGTCAATGCGCTCGTTGCCAACAAGGATATCCAACAAACCATTCAAATGTGCGAAGATAACGACAAATATGATAAGCTCAAGGCTATTCTACAAGAACTAAAGGATTCCGTCAGTAACAACAAGGACGGTGATGATGATGACAAGAAGAAACACAAGAATGGTAGTGCTGGTGGTCCACAAGCACACCAACATGAAAAAGTCATTGTCTTTGTCGCCAAAAAGTTTAGTTGCAATGATTTGGCCAATCGACTTTGGGACGAAGGATTCGCCGTCGATTCCCTGCATGGAGATCGACCCCAATGGGAACGCACCAAAGTCATGCATGCCTTTAAAAGTGGTCTCCTACGGATCTTGATTGCCACCGATGTGGCCAGTCGAGGATTGGATGTCAAGGATATCGGAACAGTCGTCAACTACGACATGCCCATTGGAGTCAATGGCGTCGAAGATTATGTCCATCGCATTGGAAGGACCGGGCGTGCCGGTGCCAAGGGGAAAGCATTTACCTTTTTCACTCGTGGGGACAAGAAATGCGCCACGAAACTCGTGGAAGTCCTCCAAAAATCGGATCAAACCAATATCCCGCCGGAACTCTTGGCCATGGTGCGACCTTCGTTTGGACGTGGAGGTGGCCGTGGACGCGGTGGCAGAGGAGGGTATCAAGCCAGTCGTGGCGGTGGCGGACGGAATTACATGGGAGGCGGCGGTGGCCGTGGTGGGTACGGCAGAGGTGGTGGATCGTACGGTGGCGGAGGAGGTTATGGAGGATCCTCGTATGGTGGTGGAAGAGGAGGAGGAAGAGGTTACGGTGGCCGGGGAGGAGGTCGTGGAGGTGGCCGATGCTATGGTCGTTAGGAGTGACGAGCGAGACGGTGATACAGAGAGTTGTACAGAAGGAACTTGCCCCCCAGGAGTTTGGTTGGCTTGGCTTGGCTTGGCTCTGCGATTGATTGATTGATGTAATGTGTGCATAATTTCTTTTTAAAAAACAATATATTTCATGACTTGGTTGCTATGTGGAAGGGAAGGCGTCAAGTACTCGGAAAGGTCGTGAAGCCATGGCAACCGGATGCATATGGTTGAACGCCTTGGAAAGAGCCAAAATTTCTGAACTCATATTTGACAATTGGAAACACCAAGCCAAAAAGTCCTTCCTTGCACGCAACATGCCGGCCATCCCAATCGAGAAGGTCAACCTCTACGGAGACAATGACGGTTCAAGCATTCTGATGGATCCAAGATGCTTCATCGACCATTTCATTCAACGCTCTCTCTTGAGTAACACAGAACATGCAGATGCAGCTGCTGGAACAACGCTGGCCACCACATCAACGACATGAAAACCATCGTGAAAGAGATCTATTTCCTACAAAAGTCGATGTGGGAGTCGCAAGCTGAAACAAGAAGCACGGTGCGAGATCTCGCTCTACAATGTCACCGAGTCAAAGTTGGCCTAAACATTTTGCCAAATCTTCCCAACTGTCAGGACGCAATCGTTCCTCACTAGCTAGTTTCAGCCAACACTTCTTGGTACAACTCCCTATCGATAGTAAGCCTTTTGTTCCTCCCTCTTCTGACGATTCACCTTTTTCTTCCTCCTGACGATTCGTCAACGACAGTTTCTTGTTGCAAGCAGGGAGCAACTTGACCCTTTCCATACTAGCATAATGCCAATTAGCTAATTAATGGCACCCTTCAACAAGCAAAACCAGCAATGGGTCCGGTATCTGGTATTTGCTACTAGGGTCCAGCTAGCTCTACCTTCAACACCCTTCCTCCTCCGCCACTACTATTAGGTAGGTATCGGTACTACTCGAAGCAACACGATGATTCCTCAACGATCTTGCGCTTCTCGTCATTTCCTCCAAACTCCCGTGCTTGGCGAACTGCTGCGGGCAACTATTCACCGCACCTGGCACATTTGCAAGAAGTTCCGCTAGCTAGAGCTTTTACCATGTCCTTCTAAAAGCAGACTCGATTCGAATATATACTTATCTTGTACCCGCCACTTCTTTATCCAATTCAAGCCCCCAGCCACCATCCCCAGGCTCGCTAGCTAGCTACTAATGCAGGGGATGGTGATGAGGGATGGATTTCTGGCTGTTGTCGTAAACATCTCCCGTGTGGAGGGGATGATGATGGCATCCGAAGCAAGTTAGTTACTTGGCAAATCCCGCACTGTGGCAGCCAGCCAGGTATTCCAAGATTGTACCGGTATAGTATTCACATAATTCGCTGATACAACTTTTCCAAAGGTTGATTACTGTATTACTGTATTATCCAGGTCAATGAATTCCTATGACTGCCTGAAGCAGGGGACCGCATGTACGGTAGGAAGAATCATCGTTGGGGACTTGATGGGCATCGTCGCCGTGGATAGCACCGAATATAAGTCTTTTTTCCTCGCCCCGGCGGGAGTGCCGTTCTCCCACTGGCTTCGCTGGCTAGCTAGATCTACTTGCTCTACTAGCTAGCTCTAGCTAGCTGGCTAGCTAGCTAGCTACAGCGTAGAGCCTGCTGCTTTTGCGTTTGCCTCAACAACATCAACAAGGCCAAGACCAGCGAGGAGTAAAATTAAACTGTTGTGATACAGTAAAAAATTTATTAATACCAGGTGCTGCTTGCTATGCATTGGCCGCAGTACGGTAAATCTCTCGGTGTATCATTGTGACGTCAGAGACAAATACTAGTTAGCTGCAGGGTCATCTTTCGTGTAAAGAGGAGGTTTTAGCTTCCCCCCGAACGGTAGTTGCGGTAAATAGTGGTCACGCTCTATTCATTTTTTCAGAGAAAACAATAGTACCTCAACTACCTGATTTCAACGTCTTTTTCCTGGTTTGCCGTCTCGCTCCGAATTCCTCGCCTGTTTTGGCCTTGCCAGCAACAACCAACACCACAACCATTTGCCTCTATTGTATTGAGGATAGAAAACAAGACAAGATAAGATGATGCACGACAGTAGCTCTAGTTCGAACCTGACGAGCAGCAGTGGCTCTAGCGACTCGTCTACTAGCAACCGCGCTGGCAGTGGTGGCGGCGGCGGCGGTGATATTGAGAATGCCATGGCGGCGCTTCGCGAGAGAATTCGGAGCCAAGCGGGATCTCTGCTGAACAACATTGCGTCTACCGTACAGAATACGTCCCGCAGTACCAGTGAACCAATCCTACCATCTGTCACTACAACAACTACACGTACTACTACTAGCAGTAGTAGTCAAGCACGAACCACTTCATCATCAACAGCAGACCAATCCTTCTTGTCCATGTTCCGCTTGTCGCAAGAAAACGGTCAAGATCCACGAGAAAACGGACACAGTCATTACAATCGCAATCATCATCGCAATAATCGCAATAGTACACCCATGATGCTTCCGGATTCCTCCCACGATGAAATCCATCTCTTCCACGATGACGCGCAAAAGGACTCGGTTGTTCTTACGGAAAGTTCCGACGAATCATCCTCGAGTCATGCAGAGCGATTTCCATTTCCCTCTTCCATTACACGATCCGTCTCTGCTGCTAGTAGCAGTACAGGTACTAGTACTAGTCGCTCTAGTTTCTTTCGAGCGCGCAACAAGGATGACGATGACGACTACACAAGCCAAAACAAGGATAGTAGAAGACCGTGGAATGAAGAATATGAGCAATCTCAATCGTGGAATCAATCATGGAATGACGACTCCAAGGCGTTTCCATGGGACGATAACAACTTGAATACTAATAATAATAAAAAGCCAGACGAGGAAAGCATCATCAATCATCATCATCCATCCAGCAGCAGCAGCAGTCAACCACCACCACCGTGGAATAATAATAATGAGGACACGACGGAAAAAACCCATTCCAGTCGGTCCAGTCGGTCCACCAGCAGCAGACCGTGGATTGATGACACGACGTCAAGACCTTGGATGAAAGACAATAGTGACAACAACAACAACAACAATGACGCCAATGTCAAGCCACGAAGAAAAGTACCCAGTCGGTCTCAATCCTATGACCCTTCGCGGTTGTCGAGACCTTGGGACAATGATGACAAGCCCCAAGAAATCCACTCTAGTCGGTCTAGTAGACCGTGGAATGACAATGACGACGACAAGCCAGAAGAAATCACCTCCAGTCGATCGACATCGTGGAATCAAGACAAGACAGAGAAGAGCGCATCCAATCTGTCTAGTAGTAGACCGTGGGAGGACGACAAGCAGAAGGATTCTCCACCGTGGAATAATGACAATGACAACCACAACCACCACCACCACAACCACAAGACCAAGGATCCTACTAAAAAGGCCACTTCTACTTTCAAAAAGGAACCTCCTCCTCCCAACCTCGAACCAGCCAGTGATGATAGCAGCAGTGATGGAAGTAGTAGTGATGGAAGTAGTAGTGATGACGGTAGTGTCGGAGGCAACTATCCACCTCTGATGGAACAACAACAAACTGCTGCCAAACACAAACACAAACCAAAGGCTCCCCCAAACAACAACAACAACAACAATGATAGTGACAGTGATGACAGCAGTGTCCAAATCAAGTTGATTTCAAAGTCCAAAAAGTATCCCATTGTGGATCTCGAAAAAGTGGTAGAGCACAGTAATCGAAGTGAAGACGATGATGCTAGCTACCCTCCCATCTTGCACCAGCAGCAAAAGAAATCAAGTTCCAGCAAAGATCCAGACAGTGATAGTGATGATAGCATCCAAATCAAGCTGATTTCAAAGCCCAAAAAGTATCCCATTGTCGACCTTGAAAAGGTGGTGGAACACAGCAACCGCAGTGATGATGATGACGCTAGCTACCCGCCGGTCTTACAGCAGCACAAATCAAGTTCCAGCAAAGATCCAGACAGTGACAGTGATGACAGCTTCCAAATCAAGCTGATCTCAAAGCCGAAAAAGTACCCCATTGTCGATCTTGAAAAAGTGATAGAGCACAGCAATCGAAGTGAGGATGATGACGATGCTAGCTATCCTCCAAAGTTGGAGCAAAGCAAATCAATCCAAAAATCAAGTCTCAAAGTTCCGTCCAACAGTAGTGGTGACAACTTGAAAACGTCGACCAACCAATGGGAATTTTCGGTTGCGGATTTTCAGAATCATCCAAGTGGCAACGATAGTAGTGAAGAGGAGGAACCGGTTGTGGTAAAAAAGGCGGTAGCAAAGAGGAAATCTTCCGTCATGTTCAAACTTCCCGACGATTTCACCGATTCCGACGACGACGACGATAAGGATGCCAAGCTCAAATCAATGATGCTCAAAAAACCACCGATTCGTCCATCCATTCCTCGGCCATCACTGGCTAGCTTCAAATCCTCAGACAGTAATGATGACAACAACAACAACAACAACAAAAGCAACAGCTACGATGATTTCGGTCTACAAAATGTCAGAGAAAAAGTCAGATGCGGCAATGATTCCAAAATTGGACTTGTCCTCTGCTTTTTGATTCCGCTCGTCTGGGCTGCTCTTGTCCCCCTTGCGTTGATCTACAGTAACAAAGTCGAGACGGTGGCTCCTTCGATTGCACCCACGGGGGCTCCCACCGGCATGCCCACCATACTCCCCACAACCAATCCACCCACTCCGCTCCCGCCTCTGTTTGCCATTCTACCGGCATACACCGAACAAGCCCTGTCTTTACCAAATTCTCCACAAAGCAAAGCACTCCAATGGCTGGTCGAAGATCCTCTTTTTAGCACGTATGATGTGGCACGACAAGCACAACGATTTGCATTGGCGACATTCTACTATGCCACCAAGGGCGAGAACTGGACGCTAAACAACAATTGGCTCTCTGTGGAGTATGGAATGCACGAGTGCTTTTGGTATGCCCAAACCAATGTCTGCAATGGTCTACAGGAATACACCGTGCTGGAACTCAATGACAACAACTTGGAAGGAGTCCTGCCTCGAGAAATATCCATGTTGACTGCCCTGCAACAGATCCATTTGCAAGAGAACAAGATTATGGGAAGTATCCCTTCCACGGTGGCACAGCTCATGGACATGCAAGTCTTGGATCTGCAAGACAATTTCATCACGGGACCCATTCCCACAGAACTTGGCCTCATGACTGGGTTGCAACAGCTTTGGTTGAATGGAACTCGTGGAGACAGCATGCCCCGGGTAGCTGGCATTCCTTCCGAATTGGGACTCTTGACAGAGCTAGAACAGCTCCATCTAGCAAGGAACAAATTGAATGGCAAGGTTCCCTCGGAACTTGGCTTGTTGCCCAAGTTGGATTGGTTGTCATTGCGTCACAATATGCTGACGGGGGTCATTCCGGAGGAACTTTCGTTGCTTCCAAAATTGAGTTGGATGGATCTGGCAGAGAATTGGTTCCGGGGGAACATTCCGTCCAATTTGGGGTTGCTCAACAATACACTTCGAATCTTGCAGTTGGAGTACAATTCCCTTTCCGGCACAATTCCTTTTGGTTTGAATCGATTGACGAGTGTGCAGCATGTGTGGTTGCAGGAGAATCTGCTGACCGGGTATCTCCCGGTTGGACTGTGCTATTTCAAACGAATCGGCAAGGTGCAAACAATATGGGTCGACTGCGACGAGGTAACGTGCGACTGCAACTGTCTATGTGTCACCCAAGAAGAAGTGTTAGACGAAGCCACTGCAGCTCAGTCCAGGGGGCATGGGTCGTGAGAAACCATGCATTTGGGGGGTCTGAAATGTTGTTTTAGTTTGGCGGCTGCAGTATCGTTTTAAGCCAGGTAATAAGAGTCCGAATCTTGGGACCTGGCGCCTTTGTTATATATGTATCATTATTACGTCCTACAGTCGTAGCTTTAACGCAAGCACGTCTTATCCTCTTTCCTCTTGTGCCTGCCTCATTTCCTTCAACGTCGTCGCGGGAATCGAATCGAATCGATGCAGGCAAATAGATCCCTCTCCCAAAGCCAAACCATAAGACTGTCAACCAGCCGGGATTCACCCAAATTGCAGGACCATTCTCTACCTACTAGCCAGCTGCGTCCGATAACGCATTCTGACCCTCGACAAGGTGCAGCAGGTTTTATTACTAAAACTACTTGCTACTGTTACTTTCTATGCTGGCTGGCCTACACTTTGTTCAATCTTTCATTTCGTTCTTTTCCTGTATTTCTGTTCCATACCTGTTCAGTCATTCACATGGTTGCTGTTGCCTTTTCGGGATCCACTCGCTCCATTGGATGATGCCGTCCTACTGTACTACTACTCGATCTTCTTCCGGCCTTGCCTAACCTTCGGTAATGGCAATCTTGGTAGGTTCCGCGGGTTTCGTCTTGGGAGCGGACACGGTCAAGACACCATTCGAGAGCTTGGCAGAGAGCCTGGAGGTATCCACGTTGCTGCCAATGGTGAAACGCTTTTCGAACCTGGTCTCCATCGTCTTGCCGTCCTTTTCCACCTTGCGGCCTCCATGGACGTGCAACACCCTGCCGTCTTGCTCCAATTGAGCCGTCATCTCGGAAGCTTTGACGCCTGGAAGATCCATGGAGATTTCGTACTTTTTATCATTCTCGTTAATCTCGTAGCCTGGAGACGAGTGACGGAGGACCATGTCGTTAAAGTCTCGATCAAACTGGCTTCGAATCACCGGCATCCAGCAGTCATCAAAGAAGGGGTCCCTCGTCATGAAGGGAGACGGAGCGAGCATTTCTCGGAATCCATAGAAAGGATCGAAAGCGTTACGGTTGAATCGACTGAGGGCCATGGTAGAATAGTTTGTTGAAATACTAGCTAGTATCGAGGATTCTGGGTTGGATGTTTGTGTTGGAGTGCCTTTGTTACTTTTTGTGAGCCTCGGTTCGCGAAGTGTGGGAGTTGGTTTCCCGAAGAGATTGCACGGTTCGGTGCGACTTTCGAAAGTCTTCCATCCTCTTCCAATCGAAGTCACGAGCCAAGTCACGTAACCGTCCCCGGTGTGAATACGAATGACAACCAACATCGCAAACCGTGGAAACTGGTTCGAAGTGGAAGGAAATTTAATGTGACATGGATGCATGGTGTGCCGCCCGAGGTTGCGGTCAGCCAAGGCATCGGGTCTGTAGAGCAGACTACTTGTACCGGTACCGTACGGTACCTACGTGATCCGACGATTCGATTCGATTCATCATTCATCAGGCTGCGCCAAAGAAGTGCCTGACAACCTATTTGGTGACGAAAAGTAAGACTCGACAGGCATGTGCCGCCTGAGGCTGGCTGCTGCGGTTGGGTGTCAGCCAAGGCATCAGTCGGTACAGCAGATTACCTTCGGTCCCGGTACTTGTATCCGACGATTTCAGGCTGCGCCATAGAAGTTCCTGACAACGTCATTAGCGATGAAAAGCTAGACTCCCTAAAATATCGACAAGAGCTGGGAGGGGAGAACCGTTGCACTACGGTATCTTTAGCTATGGTACACGAGGGGTCAGTCAATGGGTATCGTACTTCTGCTCGAACATGACATCGAAGACGCTCGAACAAAACACTGGAAAGACGCATGTCTGCGTCGCTCATGGCTCTTCTTCAGCAAACGTCTCTGTTGGTTCGGTTGGTCTCTCAAGCATAGCATTAGTCTTCATGCCATGCTGCTTTTGCCATGACCTGGAGGGTGCAAATCCTAAACTCAAGGTCATACAACCACAAAACAGCTCAATGGCAGAAGCGGTCATGGCCAAGATAGCGCCGACATCCACCCAGCAGTCAAATTCGTGGCACATGGTCGATTGCAGGGCTGCCAGGACCAGCATCCCGGAAGCAAGGGACAAGATCAACTGGGTCATCCCCAGGAATTCTTCCATGCACGGGGACAGTTGACACCACATGGTCAGAGTCAGTATCAATGTCACCAGTACACTCACGACAAAGCACAAGGCTCCACTGTATCGGCCGTAATTCCAGAGCGCATCAAATGTCTTGGTTTGTTCCGACGTCCAATGAACACATTGTCTCCCCTCGTCGTAGTAGTTGTTTCCATGACGATGATTATTGAGTTCATCCATGGTCTGCCAAAAGCCAACCGAGACACCGCGTAGATTGCGTTCGAACGAATCATGTGTAATCTCCACAAAGTTGCAATCCAAGACCGCATAGCCCAAGCAACACGTCGCGCAAGTGGATAGCAAAATGGGAAAGAGAACCTGACGGCCGTACGGAAACGATGGGATCATCATTGTGGCTGCTGCTGTGGAGGATCTCCTTCCAAGATGGTTTTTGTGGCAATTGGGTTCATTTCTTTCGCATGAATCCTAATGAGGTCCACCTAACTTGGATGAGATCACTTCCCTGCTCTGCCTATCCCATTACAGATGAAGGGGGAAGTTATCTACGGAAGCTAGTAGGCTTACCGATAGTCAAACGAGAAGTGGAAGTCGGGAGTAGCTAGCGTTCCGATTGGACTTGACTCGGATCGACTGCCAGCGGTACGCTACCATGTTGTGTGGTTCCAACATCAAGCTGGTGGCTACCAGAATAACAGGGCGCGTGACCCTACTCTAGGTACTGTAGTAGTAAATTTTACAGATCTTCCGGTTCACTGAGACGTCTCAGTCGGTCCTCACTGATCCACATCAGTCTTTAAGCTAGAGTACTAGTAGAGGGTTATTAGCAGCTGCATCAGCCCCAGCGGCCCACAGTCCTGTGGATACGCAGGATCTTCGTCGCCACACATACATTGATACGAGGCAAGTATAGCATCTAGAAGCTAGCTAGCTAGAGCATGTTTCTCCCATGGTGTCTATGGTAAGGTTGTGCGTGTCAGTCCTGCGCAGCAAAAAGGAGGCACATACTTCCATCGACGAAAGCAAGTCACGACGAAGAGCAAAAGAAGCCACACATCACCAGCGCATGAACAATCATAGGAAGCACTATTAAAATTGCATTGTACAGGAGTTGTCTGCACACTTTTATGCAGCCAGTTGCACACTGCGAGTTAGCCTACCAGCTGGGAGTCTAGAAACAACTGGTCCGGTAACCAAGTCCTGTGCTGTCAGAATTGTTGATCCACAAAGCCCGACTTCTTTCAGCTGTGACAGAGGCAGCCACATTTGTAGTCCCATTTCTTGATAGATTTGCATTTGAAGGTGTAACCCATCTTGTCACTGATTCACGCCCAGTTTGTAAATTCCAAATAGGAAGGAAGATGGGGCCCATAATAGCCAGGCAGGTGCAAAAGATCAACACAGCCTTGGCCAGAAATGTGATGGTGGGATCGCCCTGAGTTGCCAGCAAAATTGGGCTGCCAATGATAAGAGTTTCACTGAGGGAAAACATGGATATGGCAATCCTGCTGGTTTCATTGAACTCTGTAGGCAACTTTCTTCCCTTGTAACATTCCCAGTTGGCCAATGCCAAAGCCACAAAGTTGATTGCAAACAGCAAGCCCCCAAACAACCTCTCCAAGGTTTGACTGTTGCTGGTACAGATGGCATAGCTCGAAGTAGGACGGTCAAATCTATCCCTGGAGGGCTCAATTTTTCGCTCCCACACCAACGGATCAACAGCACTCCATGTGATAAGAACAACAAGATTGAGTCCAACCATGATGACCAGTGGATAGACCACATCTTTCACATGCACTTGAACTCTTCTGAATTGGCTTGCTCGCAGCTGTAGTTTGTTGATGCGGTAGAGCTTGCAAAACAAGGCTGAAAAGGAGACGCAGAATCCAAGGCATACTAGATACAATTGGGACATGCAAGCAATATCCAGTCCAGAATTTGGGATGGGCTCTTGTAGGGACATTGGAATAATGGCAGTTGCCATGACAAGGCATCCGCTGGCAATCATCACAAGGAAGGCAGGCTGGGCTGAAGAAACTGCTCTCTTTCTGCGGTATTGGAGGGCAAATGCAATGCAGCCAATAGAGAGAGCCATGATGAATCCCATGAGTCCCCAACCAAAACCTTGAACACCCAGGGGGATCAAGTTCATATCCATATCCACGTGTGGTAGTGCCTCGGGCACTGATGTTGTGTTGTCGGAGTAAACGAATGGTCCCTGACCCAAGTCCACTACCCGGGAAGGAAACTCGATTGCCACCGGAGTGGTTGACTTGAACTGGATTCTTCCTGGAGTGAGTTGTTGGCTGTCCTCTGCAATGATGACATTCGTAATGGCAAATCGTAGCCCCAAAAGATCTCTGGTCCCCGTCACATTATTGTAGGTGACGTGTCCTGTTGCTCCTTCAAACGATTGGTTTCGAATTCCTTTTAGGAACTGGTCGGGAGAGAAGTAATGCTCAGTTTGTCCACAAGCTGCGAGCCCAAGGGTGATGACAGCATCATACACCATTCCAGTAAAGAAGGAGGGAAGCATGGTGGTGTTGGCAAAGCTATGATTTTGCAAAATCGGGAGCAGGTTGGGAGGGTGTGCTACCACAAAATCTTGTTGGAGCTCTTGATTTGTTTTGAAGTCTTTTTCAAGGATATCGTGAAGAACAGGGTGAATCTGGATTCCCGGAAGCAAAATCCCCACACCATTAACAGCTTTCGCCAGATCTGATTCTGTTTTGTAGTCCAGAGAGTAGTCTTTGGAAGCCAAGTTTGATGAACTGTCACTCAGAATCCAGGCGAAACCTGGATGTCCCATGATCCCAAGGTTGTATCCCTCCCGAAAGACTGTCTCTCTTGAATCATGGTAGATGATTCCGAAAAAATATCTAACTTGTCTGGACTGCAGATGCTTCAACCCATCTTTGAGCGACTGATCATCACTGGCTTCAAAGGCAGTGGAATAAACTTTGATTCCATGTTTTGCTGCAGAAATTGATACTGCTCTGTTAAATGAGGTACCGTACAGATCACGGACATGAATGCATCCGAAATGAGTGACACCTATGGACTTGAAATATATCATTAGTGCCTCTGCATCCGCTTCATTGGTGGGAAATGATCTTGAAAAATACGGAGCTGCATTCTTGTCATCCAGCACTGCGGAGGATGCACTGCCAGAAATTTGAGGGATTTGATAGACTCCCGCTAGATTGGCAAGAGCTAGCGACACGGAACTGTAGGCTCCACCAATAATGGCTGCCGGTCTGGGATACCTATGCCAGTCGCCCACTCTCAAATCAGGTCGTGTGACAATCTTTTGGAGAGAACCCAGGGCCACCATTCTGTTGTATTGTGTCTCTGTCATTTCATAGGTGAATTTGATGTCACAGCCTTGCATTCTTTCCGTTAAATCGGGAACAATGGATGAATTTCGCTCATTTAAATGTCGTGTGGCTACATATGCTGCTGCCTCATAGGTGAGCTGTGGAATGAGTAGGTTCCTCTCTTGTTTGGTGATGGTTTGGAAGTTCACCAAGTGGACATTTCGATAGGTCTCGTTTCGGAAGCGATCGTAGACCTTGAGAACTTCGGATCCCTCTTGCTGGCCCACAACCTTTAGAAACGAAGAAGAGCCGCCATTATTGCTGCGACTAACGCTGCCCTTAGCAGAAAACGAAGCCATGGTTGTTGACTCGACTCTGGAACCTGTTGGTACCTGGTAATATATGGCTCCTACCGTATGTCGGTCGACCACAAAGCTCAATTGTGGCCTCGGGCGGAGTCAACGATGCCGCCACGGAGATTAGAGACGAGACCAAAATTTCTTTGGCACGATGACAATAATACTCCGGAGATGCGGTGCGATTGAGTCCTGGCGTGGGGTTGTTACCACAGAACATATTACAGGACATCCTCGCCTCGAAATGAATTCTATTGATCTGTCTGGATTGATTCCAGTCAGAAAACCCGACACGAAGGGCAGCTAAAGGAGCTCTAAAGGGCTATTGGTCAAAAACGCTACTATCCAAGAGCACTCAACATAACAATGGGGTTCTGGTACTTGTACTGAGTACTGAGTACTATGATAGTACTCGGAATCTCGGTTTAGAGTGGCAAGAATAATAGGAAGCAAACAGTTAATGAAGCTTATTACAGTATAATACTTACATACATGCAACGTGTACTTCAGGTTCACTCGATCGTTAGATCTAATTTTCATACTGCTCCTGTAAAGGTTTACGGGAGCCACATGATACCGCACAACAGTATTAGCAGCTCGCTCGCAGGCTTATTTACTTTGTTCTTGCTTCCTTTTTTGAATGTATGTGACGTCAGTGAGTGAGTGATGTGCTGTCGGCATCAGAATTTAGGCCTCTGCAAAAGTGCTGAAAAGCAATGCTGAAGTTGAAGGCAATCGTTCGTTGGCAGTTCCATCAGCATTGCCTTCGGTTTGTTGATCCTTTTTTGTTACCCCATGTCAAGTGGATGGAACCCAGTCAACGGCTCTACCCACAATACACACAACATTTACATTACGAACAAGATACTATTACTAGTAGATTTGATATACATATCTGATGAGCAACCTGATGAATGCCATTGCCCTGCTCCTTCTTGGCAGTGCTACCCTTAATACTCCATGGGTATCTCCTGTGCATGCCTGTACCACTCTGTTAGTCGGTCGCAAAGCCACCGTGGATGGCTCAGTCTTGGTGTCTCATTCGGACGATGGCGGTGGGATTGCCGATCCTCGCATTCTCCAGATTCCCTCGAAACCGTGGAATTTGACTCTTCGAGATCAGCAGTCCATTGTGAGACCCGTCATGCCCGATTTGGAAGATTTTGATCGCTATAACGGAGATCCCATTGGTTCGGTGGAGATACCTCGGAATATGACGGATTTTGGTACCAACAGCAATAATAGCAACAACACGACATATTCCTACTTTGATGGGACTTACGGGATCCTGAATACCCAACAACTCATTGTGGGAGGCGAATCTACTTGTTCCGCCGTATTCACCGCTCAAGCTGGTCCTGCTCGCCTCAATATCAACGAATTGTCGCGAATAGCACTGGAGTACACATCCAAAGCACGACAGGCCATTCGACTCATGGGATATCTCGCCGAACGCTATGGCTTTTACGGGGCGTCGGACAATTTGGAAGGGGGTGCTGAATCCTTACTAGTAGCCGATCCACAAGAAGGATTTGTCCTGCACATACTCCCCGATGATACCGGAACCAGTGCCATTTGGGTCGCGCAACGTGTCCCCGATCATCACGTCACGGTCGTCGCCAACATGTTTATCATTCGCACAGTCGATCCGGACGATACCCACAATTTCATGGGAAACTTTGAGTACATGTATCAAGTCGCACAACGCAATAACCTCTGGCATCCAAACAACAGCAACGCACCAGTATTCGACTTTACACGAATCTTTTCCAATGGAGAATACGGACACCAATATTACAGTGGCCGACGCATCTGGGGCGCCTATCGACTCGTGGCACCGTCCTTGGAACTGGCATCCACCTATGACAATCTACTGCTCGTATCACCGTATCCCTTTAGTATTCCACCCGATCAATTGCTTTCCTTACAAGATCTGTTTCGCATTCATCGCGACTACTATCAAGATACACCTTTTGATCTGTCCAAAGGACTCGCCGCCGGTCCCTTTGGAAATCCCGATCGATTCACCGTGCCCTCTCATCAGCGTCATGCCATTGCAGAGAAATACTATCACGGCCAACAACAACAACAAGCCACGGGAGTCGGATGGGAACGACCCATTGCCCTCTTTCGCACCACCTACACTACTGTCTCACAAGTCCACTCGTCCCACAACAGTAAAGATGATGGAACCCTCTGGCTGGGGGTGTATGCACCTCATGCCACGTGTTTTCTGCCCTTTTCCACCCGTGTCACATCCTTGCCCGACAGTATCACACAAGGACACATGACAAAACTCGACAAATCCACTGCCTTTTGGACGTTTCGGTACATGCATTCGTTGGCGCGGTTGCGATACAATTTGCTGGCGCCACTCATTCACGAGGCCCAAACCAAATGGGAAGGTATTGCGTTGGAACTGCAACAATCCATCCTCCAACAGCAAGACGACGCGGAGACGGTCACGCAACTCTACCACAATCACACGGCACACGTGTTACGGGCATGGTGGGAACTGGCCGATACGCTTGTATTCTTGTATGCCGATGGATATGACAATCAACAGGAATTCAAAGCACCGGCACTGGGATATCCCACGGAATGGCTCGAACGAGTCGGGTATCAAAACGGACCGCCGCCGCCACCACCACCCACAAGTCAGAATCACGACGACAACACGTTGCCCTTTGGAGTCGTGACGACCATCCTCTTTCTGGTTGTGGTAGTAGCTGTCCTGTGCAAGTGGCGCAATACGTTCCAGCACCACTACCACAAGAACGAACACAAAAAACACCATCAGCATCATCATCACACCCAAACTCCCGAAACCATTCGCTCCGATTCCATGGATTCGATGGACCGATTTGTTCCCTTGGGGGACAAAAAGAATCACTACGGATCGTTGCAATAATTGAATGAGGGAAAGCAAACAAACACGGGAGAAAGAACTGTCGGCTAGTTAGCTAGCTCGTACTACCCATTAGCAACAAGACAATCGAACGATGCATTACATAGATTATTCGTCCATTAGTTAGTTACAAGGGTGGATGCCGTGCTTCCCGAGAATGTAAGGATGATTCTGTGCTACCAGATGATTGATTACTCATCTCATTTTTCCTCCTTTCAAAAAAACACAAAAACAGAAGAGTGCAAGTGCACCGGCGTCAGCATCCCAGAAGGAAGCAGTGGAAGCTCATCACTTGTGCCAGCAGGCACATGGGAGCCACACAAGCAGTGGTGGAGGGCCCATCGAACCCAATAGCCAGGTTGAGCCGGGCACTGGTGTAGTATGGACCACTGACTGAGGGTGAGACCACTTGGTGGCTAGCAGAGAGGAGAGAGATTTGGAGAGAGCCGGAGCTGTGGAGCCAAGGAGGCGGTCAGCAGAGACACCAAAAAGGGTAAAGTGGTAGTGTTAGAAGAGACAGGCAATGATGGTGCGCACCAATCATTCTGATGACGACTGAAACGTATGTATTGATGAGTTCGCCCAATTCGTCTTTGTTGACTTGGCAGACATGACAGCAGCAAGGGATCTAGTCTTCTTAACCAAGTGTTGTGACGCAGAATCGTTGATTCACGAAGTCGGACATCTTTGAGCTGTGACAGTGGTGACCACATCTGAAGTCTCTCCTGTTGTTGGATTTGATTTTGAAGCTCTGCCAGATAACTTCACTTTTTCACGCCTGATTTGTAAACTCCAAATAGGAAGGAAGATGGGGCCGATAATAGCCAGGCAGGTGCAAAAGATCAACATGGCCTTGACAAGAAATGTGGCGGTGGGATTGCCCTGAGCTGCCAGTAAAATTGGGCTGCCAATGATAATGGCTTCAATGAGGAAAAACATGGACATTGCAATCCTGCCGGTTTCATTGAACTCCGTAGGCAACTTTCTTCCCTTGTAACTTTCCCAGTTGGCCAATGCCAAAGCCACAAAGCTGATTGCAAACAACAAGGCCCCGAACAGCTTCTCCAAGGTTTGACTGTTGCTGGCACAGACGGCAATGCTCGAAGTAGGACGGTCAAATCTATCCCTGGAGTGCTCAGTTTCTCGCTCCCACACCAATGGATCAACAACACTCCAGGTGACAAGAACAACAAGATTGAGTCCAACCATGATGACCAGTGGAAAGAGCACATCTTTTACATTCACTTGAACTCTTCTGAATTGGCTTGCTCGCAGCTGTAGTTTGTTGATGCGGTAGAGCTTGCAAAACAAGGCTGAAAAGGAGACACAGAACCCAAGGCATACTAGGTACCATTGGGACATGCAAGCAATATCCAGTCCTGATGCTGGGATGGGCTCTTGTAGGGACATTGGAACAATGGCAGTTGCCATGACTAGGCATCCACTGGCAATCATCACAAGGAAGGCTGGTTGGGCTGAAGCAACTGCTCTCTTGCTTCGGTAGTGGAGGGCAAATGCAATGCAGCTGGCAGAGAGAACCATGATGAATCCCATGAGTCCCCAACCAAAACCTTGAACACCCAAAGGGATCAAGTTCATATCCATATCCACGTGTGGTAGTGCCTCGGGCACTGATGTTGTGTTGTCGGAGTAAATGAATGGCCCATGACCCAAGTTTACTATCCGCGAAGGAAACTCGATTGCTGTTCGGGTTGTTGGATTGAAACGGATTCTTCCTGGAGTGAGTTGTTGGTTGTCAGGGGCAATGATCACATTGGTTATTGCATATCGAAGTCCCGTGAGATCCCTTGTCCCGGTGACATTGTTGTATGAGACATATCCGGTTGCACCGTCAAATGCTTGTTGTCGAATTCCCATGAGCAACTGCTCAGACGAGAAGAACCTCTCAGTTTGATCACAAGCTGCTAATCCTGCAGTCATGACAGCATCATAAACCATGGCAGCATAAATTGAGGGTAACAAGGTGGTGATGGAAAAATTGAAATCATCGAAGAAGTGGAGCAAATTGGGTTGATGAGCATTCACAAAACCTTCTTGTAGCTGTCGATCAGTCTTGAAGTCCTCTGTCATGATTTGTTCGAGGACTGGATGCGTCGTGATTCCAGGAAGCAACACCCCAACACCATGTATCGCCTTGGCAATATCTGCTTCTGTTTCGTTGTCAAGGGAGAAGTCAGCCGAAGTAATCTTTGATTCGCTTTCAGTGAGTATCCATGTGTATCCAGGGAAACCCATGATGCCTTGCCTGTGTGCCTCTCGACATCCATCTTCAACGGGTATTCCGACATCAAAAATACCAAAAAAGTATTTGACTTGGGTCGACTTTAGATACTGTAAACTCTCAATAAACGGCTGCATCCCCCTGCCAATTTCGTACGCGGTAAAATAATTGACGATTCCATGTTTGGTAGCAGCAGTATTCACTGCTTCTCCAAAAGAAGAGCCATATGCATCAAGGCTGTAAATGGAACCAAAATGTGTGACACCTATGGACTTGAAATATATCATGAGTGCCTCTGCATCGGCTTGGTTGGTAGGATAGGACCTCGAGAAGAATGGAGCCCTAGCTTTGTCATCCAGCACTGTGGAGGATGCTGTTCCCGAAATCTGTGGGATTTCATAGACACCCGCCAAGCTAGCAACTGCCAGGGATACAGTGCTCGACGCAGGGCCATTAATCACAGTAGGGCGAGGCTTCCATTGGTCTGGCTGGAGGACAGCCCCCAATGGCGTATCTGGTCGAGTGGCTGCTTCTTGTAGTGCCTTGAGAGCCACCAGTCTGTTGAACATGGTATTTGCCATTTCATAAGACAATTTGATGTCGCACCCCACAAGCCTTTCTCCCAGATCTGGCAAAATGGAAGAGTTGCGTTCATTGAAATGCCTTGCCGCTATATACCCAGCTGCCTCGAACGATAGCCGAAAAATTTCAAGTGGACCTGTTGATTCTCGAGAAAACATAATGGGTTTCAAGCTTAACACATGGACATTTCGATAGGTCTCGTTGGAGAATCCGTCAAATACCTCGAGCACTTCAGAGCCAACCTTTCTGTCCAATACCGTCAAACCGTGGGAGGTCGATAAGTTATAAGAGCTGCTCTTGTCGCCTAGGTCCGTCATTGGAATGGAACCATGGCTTATGTTGCTTCTGTGGTTGGATAATAAGTTGGACATGTAATCGACTCAACAAACAATTCTTTTTTATTAGAGACAACACACATGGAGTGTATGTGCCGTATTGCTTTTGCATCCATGGGACATCTGCGTACACCGGTATGTTCGTGTATGCAGGGTCCCAGTGCATCTGGATGCACGCATGGCTGCGTGCCTCTTCGCTTGATGGAAATGGGGTGGAGTCGAGTCATTTTCTAGAGCCTATGTCTTTTGAGAGACTTGAAGATTTAAAGTCTGTTGCAAGTCAAACTCCGTTTCTTTCACCACCCTCTCTCTCTCAGGTACAATCCTTGGGGTGCGGTGACTATGGCTACTAGCTAGCTAGTAGACTGCCGATGGGCTCTCAATAGCTCTAGCTAATCAGACACGTTTATGTCTCCGTGGATCCTGCAAAGCCCAACCCTTTGGCCCCCGTCCTCGATTTCTTGCCCCTGCCTGATCCCACAGAACCAAGTCGAAACTCCCTAGCTGGCTTCGGTAGATAATCCTCCTATTTTAAACCCCCCTTAGATAATCAGACCCTCCTCGAATGATTGATTCATCAGTGCTATGATACCGGTACTATGTTATGCAACAACGATAGCATCAAGGAAGGTAAGTAACTACCGGTACTGTACTTCACACGCTCCAACCCTTGGTGCTCGCTCCGGATCTCGATATGGCTGGCTATCATAGCTACAAGGTGCTCCAAAGAATCGTGGAGTTACGGTGTTACGGTACGTCTCGTCATCTCCTCAGCGGTATTTACTCCTGGCAGCTGCGTACATGTACCTACATCTAGCTGGCTTCTGGTACGGAAAGGTTAGCTAAGGATACTGTACCAGGACCTTGGTCAACCTGCAATGTGCAATGTTTATTCTGCTTTGCTAGCTACGCTAGCTGGCTATTAATAGTAAGCGAGACATACTGACATACTGACTCTTTGATCGCTTATGATGCATCTCGGTTCGCGGTAGCCAGCTTCTGTGCTCCATTTTTGTGCCTTAACCAAAACAATCTTTTGAGGGTGTTCTCCGTTGTTCCTTGCTTGTCTTGTACAAGCTTCAGTTAATATTTTGTACAGTACTGTTCATTTAAGCACGTAGTTTTAATCAGGAGTACATTCTGTGAACGAATTTCGTCTCCTGGAGACGATTTGCTTTAGGGGTAATGGTACCGATGGGGGCAGAGGTTTGAATTATACCCGGCGCGCATTACTTAGAAGGCCCTGTAGAAGTCTACGTATTCGACTAGTATTGTATTGACGGGATACAGTCAACGCATGTACATGCACATGAAAGTCGCCTTGCGTTCTTCACATTTTAAAAGTTGGCTCCTAATTTTCGGGGTCGCCTGTGATTTGATTTGACGCTTGATCTTTTTTCAATGACTGACATTGAATGACGTACGAGGTGAATGCGAATCTCAGAAAGGTAGTTGTAGTAATAAAAGTTTTTTATATAGATTAATTTACCCTATATCCCTACCGTTATACTTATAACAAGAACCCCTCTTCTCCTGGAACATTTCATCGTATTGATCTTCTCCTAGGACAGAAAGCCCAATAGTATCCTTAAATCTTGTCAAGCATGTTCTCTCATTCGTTGTGTCATGGCAAAGTTCTTTTGATCCCAATCCAGCTTCTTCAATAGAACAAACCACTCATGGTTCGCACCTTTATAACACACGTAAGCCCATTTTGACAGTATCACGCCATGAATGTACCAATAAACACTGCAGTATATCCCTGTAATTGTGTCCAGTTGTCGCAGATTTGCTGATAATCGGGAACTGTTACCCTTCATCTTGGTGGTACAACTTCTCCGTCATAAAACCATCTGGTGCTGAAAGTGTAGTCTTGCTCCGTTACATAAAAGTACGTGGCATAATAGTCTCCATTTCATGTTCCACAAGGATAGATTTGACTTGACCTAGAAAAAGCCTGATCTTGCAGCCTTGTCGAGTTGAATAATCTGGGTGCAACCATCCCTCAACATTCACCTTTCTCAACAAAACCCGAGATCCATTGGCTTCTCCCATTCGGAACATTCGTGTTCTCTGTAAACATTACAGGACACCCCTTATATAACTTCAAAGCAGATCAACACGTTTTCGTGAGTCCGAACCGGGTTTTAACGAGTCTCTCCACATGTTGAAAAGAATGCTTTAAAACCGAATTGCTCTTAAAAGGAACAGTGTCCCTGTTGATTGGCCATTTGAAGAAGTCCATGAAAATGAGTACTCATCCATCAGCACGGAATACATCAGCAGGTTTGTTCTTCCCAAGCAAAATTCTTAGAAGATCTGAGTAATAAAGGCAATCTCAAAACAAACACTCATTCGATTCAGATATAGCAACTTGAATGTTCTCTGGTGAACATGGGTTGGGCCAACCACGCAGGCGTCATTGATGGTCTCAATATCTCTTCTGTTGGTCGCCCTTCACGGAATCTTAAACAGCGTTGCCCCCATCAGGATCGTCTTTGAAGTGGTGCATTCCATCTAACTCAATAAATGAATTCAGAGAGTCATGAAATTCAGGAATGGTGTCCCTGCTTGATTGGCCATTTGAAGATCGTCCATGAAAATGAGTACTGCATCCATCAGCACGGAATCATCAGCAGGTTTGTTCTTCCCGCAAATTCTTCGAAGATAGCTGAGTTAATGGCATCTCGATCTCGATTCAGATAAGTAGCAACTTGAATGTTCTCTGGTGGAACATGGGTTGGGCCAACCACGCAGGCGTCATTGATGGTCTCAATATCTTCTTCTGTTGGCGCCCTGCACGGAATCTTAAAAGCGTTGCCCCCATTCAGGATCGTCTTTGAAGCGGTGCAATTCCATCTAACTCAATAAATGAATTCAGAGAGTCATGAAATTCAGGAATGGTGTCTGAAGATTGTAAATTGGGGGGCGTCCCACTGGTTCAAGTTGAGAGTAGTCCCCCGCGACACCAATTAAGTCCCCCAAATGTTGGTTTTCGTCTTGCATCAAGGTCTTGGTGTAGTGGAATATCTTCACTAAGTCAAGTTCCCCGCGAATGAAATTTCGTCGATGATAAGCATCCGTGCGTCACTCCATTCTTCTACCAAGTTCTTCGCCACACTTTCCCGAGTTCTGTTCAATCCCACAGCTGAATGCGTTGTTTCCCCATGCAGTATTGTAGCAGCAACCCCCGACATAGCAGTGACAACAATGGTTCGGTCGTTAAATGGATGATCAATCAACCGCAGAATTCTTTGCCATAGGCCATGACTAAGTCAATTACGGTAGACTTCCCACTTCCTCCAGGCCCTGTAGAAGAAGAATCAGTTGGGTGCCACGACTTCCCTTCAAAACAAAGGTTTTACGAGAAAGTCGGACTTTTGCCTTCAACCCCATATCCGGGACTTCCATCCTCTAAGTCCACTTTTCAGCTTCCTCATAAAATGTCAACAAGAAGGCTGCAATGATACACTCGAAAGCCCTTCTCGTTTGTCGTCCAGATTGGCAGCCGTTGCCCAGTCACTTATACTTCTCACGCTTCCATTCGCTGCGACACTTCAACCTGCGGATTGTACTTAAATACATTTGCCCTTTGGATGCACTCCCGTTTGTTAAGTAGAACTTCAATGATCTTGTGATATCGAGGTGTAGGCGGTTTCACTTTGCTTCTCTTTGTAGTGCCAGTCGTGTGAAAGTCAGCACTTATGGTAACAAATTCGTCTTCATCTAACGAATTCTCAGGAATGGGTAACTGACGTTGTATCCTGCGTTGCCGCTTCCATTGTGACGTAAAGCCGTAAAACTAAACCATCAAATGTTCTTGCCAGAAAGTCCCGGTTTTTTTTTTGATTCTGTTGTGCCCTGGCTCCAAGATCACGTATCCAATCTTCGTAAACCTTTTGAATCAGATCATTTCCTTGTTCGTGCTCATCATCAGATTCGTTTTCGTACATGTTCTCTCCCAATGTTCCGGTCTATAGGGCTTGGTAACCGTTGAAGATCATCCTCTTTCACCTTATAACCTCGGTTTGTTGAAAGCGCGTGTCTTGAATGTTCTGGATGAATGACAGGTTCCTTTCTGAGAAGACGACGGTTCTTCGTTATTCGCTTTTCTCAGAACATCGTATTCATACACTTCACGAAGTCTTTCAGCGAAAGCAAAGTTGGTCTGGGTACGGACTTCTTTATAATAG